TCCACGCAATAAGGACCAAAAAAGAATCCCCCTCGTCCTCACGTACCATCCCACCAACCTCCGGATCCAACGCATCATCCTCCGACACTTCCGCCATCTGCAATCCGACCCCACCACCAAAGACATCTTTCCCTCCCCACCCTTATCTGCTTTCCGGAGGGACCAACTCTCTCCGTGACTCCCTTGTCCGCTCCACACTCCCCTCCAGCTCCACCACACCCGGCACTTTTCCCTGCAACCGCAGGAAGTGCTACACCTGCCCCCATACCTCCTCCCTCACCCCCAGCCCAGGCCCCAAGAAGACTTTCCACATCAAGCAGATGTTCACCTGCACATCTGCCAATGTGGTATACTGCATCCGCTGTACCCGGTGTGGCTTCCTCTACATCGGGGAAACCAAGCGGAGGCTCAGGGACCGCTTTGCAGAACACCTACGCTCGGTTCGCAATAAACAACTGCACCTCCCAGTCGCGAACAATTTCAACTCCCCCTCCCATTCCTCAGACGACATGTCCATCCTGGGCCTCCTGCAGTGCCACAACGATGCCACCCGAAGGTTGCAGGAAGAGCAACTCATATTCTGCTTGGGAACCCTGCAGCCCAATGGTATCAATGTGGATTTCGCAAGTTTCAAAATCTCCCCTCTCCCTACCACATCCCAAAACCAGTCCAGCTCGTCCCTGCCTCCCTAACCTGTTCTTCCTCCCACCTCAAGCCGCACCTCCATCTCCTACCGACCAACCTCATCCCGCCCCCTTGACTTGTCCGTCCTCCCTAGACTGACCTATCCCCTTCCTAACTCCCCACCTACACTCACCTTTACTGGCTCCATCCCCACCTCTTCGACCTGTTTGTTTCCTCTCCACCTATCCTCTCCTCTATCCATCTTCTATCCGCCTCCCACTCTCTCCCTATTTATTTCAGAACCCCCTTCCCCTTCCCCTTCCCCTCCCCCTTTTCTGATGAAGGGTCTAGGCCCAAAACGTCAGCCTCTCTGCTCCTATGATGCTGCTTGGCCTGCTGTGTTCATCCAGCCCTGCACCTTGTTGTCTCGGATTCTCCAGCATCTGCAGTTCCTACTATCTCTAGTATTGGATAACAATCTTGCAGAATTATATCCATGACTGAAGTTAGTTCTTCCCTAATATTAAAATATTACGACCACAATAGTGAATCACATCAGTTAAAAAGTGAATCTTGCACTTGTTGAGTAGGAGGCATTTTCTCCCACGGTGTCAATCTCAATCCAAATTGTGATTCTGACTGCAGTCGTACTGCTCATCTTTGCTCTTTATAAAATGGAAACCAATTGACTGTGACATAAGATGTGCAGAGTTATAGCCCTTGAACTGGATTCCCACTTCATAGTATTGTAAAACTGAACTACCTACATAGAACCATTCTGCTGGATCATCAGGTATTTAAAAAGGTAGAAACTTGGGGAGATTCCTACCTTTTACAACACTATCATACAAACAAAATTCACACAGCTGATGGACAGTTCCATGTTGAAGTACAGTATGTATTCTAAAACACAAATCCTGTAACAATTAAATACAGTATTGCTGAAATAAAATATATATTACAACTCTGTACATAGTAATACAAAAAAACTCTATGAGAGGTAAATATACATACACAAGACTAATTCAGAACAGCAGCTCTTGAGCAAGCCCCAAGTTTTTTTCAGATTAAAATTAACAGTCAGCCATTCATCTTATTTCTTTTCAAACAGATTGACTCTTAAGTACCCTTACAATTTTGCACAACTCTTTATATACACTGGATGGCTTTCTGAAACCGTCTTTTGCCCATCAGATTACACCCTTCTTTTACTGCATGGGATGCAGAAAACCCTTTAGTCACTATATATAATCTTGTGTATAAATTATTTAAACCAAATCCTCCATTGTGATCTTTCATTATATACACAATATTGTTGCAAAATGTACCATTACTTTGCTTTTTTCAGCAAGTGCATGCATACTTACTTTCGTAAACCTTTAAAACAAATCTCCAGTCTGTTCCCTGCATTCGTGCAGTAATACTGTTTAAGCACTAAACTGCCTAACAGGCAAATCAGGGTATTAGTGTTCCAACTTGTAACATACAAAGCTTCAGGCAAAGGGCCCAACATGGCAGTTGAATGTGCAGCCACGTGAAGCCAAGTCAGCACAATAGCAAGCTTTTGAAGACAAAAACTGGATTGAACAGTCAGTTTTTGCTTCATGTGCTTATTAGACACAGTAATAAGGCAGCTTAATACAAAGTAAAGAAAATACAGCATGACTTAATAAAACATCGCAAGGTGCCCAACATGTTAGAATACAGTTTTACAAAGGGCAAAATAAAAATTAAGAGGCTCCTCTAATTGAAATCTTTGGTAATTAAAAACAGGTTTAGAGATCTTCATGATTTGCATCCCAGTTTTCTTTTTAATAAAGTATCTATTTCCTGATTAAAACACATCTCAAATGTTAATTTGTAATACAGAAGCTGGTGCTTTCTTAACTGAAGTCTGGGATTTTACTCAGCAAAGCCATTTTTAGTGTATTTTCTATCTTTTGTTACTGAGATATACTATACTTTCTTTCAAAAAACGAAAAGTATTAAAGATTTCATTCTATCCTTTATGTCACATGGTCTAGTAATATAAACAAAAAAAACACTGTACAATCTATAAAATACTCCATTAAGAGGTCTATACAGTGATGTGTCATAAGTGCAAATGTTGCAGTTCAGTTAACCCAAGATTTCCTGTTGTTTTGTTTCTTGGAGGGTGCTGTATCTCCTGATTGGCGTAGCGTTGTTCCATCAGGTTTAGTGGATGAGGTGACCTGTGATGTCCCAAGGCTGACAACTTTCCGTTTTTCATGACTTGTGGATGTCTGAGCTTGTGATGTGCTGCTATGCCGCTTTACTGTGTTGGAGACCTGGATGAGCCGGTTTGGACGTACAAATATACCACAACTAGGACTGCAGTGAAAATATTCTTTTCCTTCAATAGTGCCCTGATGTTTGCCTGCATGACAGTTGAAAGTACAAGAACATGACATTTAAATAAATCCGCATCTTCTGCAAGTTCTATGGCAACATCAAATGTACAAGATAATGTATTGACAAGGTGTCCACACTAAAAAGAATGCAAACAAGATAAAAAAGTTGTATATTCGAATTAAGAAATAATGGGGTGTTTGAAATAAACATTTTGTTAAGGCTAGTGATACCATATGTAAGTGAACATAAAATTTAGCTCAGCTCAATTCTTCGAAGTAGTTGCAAATAATTGAGGAAAAGAATCAATTCAAAGCTGTTCTCACTGGAGCAATGAAGGCTAAAGAAAATTTCAACAGATGTGTTCATACTCGTGAATGTTTTTGGTTGGGTAAATGTGAGTCAGTTTCAAATGATAAAAAGGTAAGAAGGTAATTGACAGAAGAACCCGAAATGACACCTGGAAAATAAAGTCACACATGTAATTGCTATGATCTGCACTGTTTAAAAGGGTGATGTATGTGGGTTCAACAGCAGCTTTCTCAGAGAATTGAATAAATACTTATAGGGAAGATTTTGCAGGGATTCGCAGGAGACACCAAGGGAGCTGGACTAAATGGACAGCTTTTTTATATGGATACTGCTGTCTGCATATTCTCTTATTTTCAGTCCTGTGTACTGTGCAGTTCACGATTCAAGAAGAATAGGAAGCCATGTAAAAGTGGAGACATAGCGCTGTTAATCAAAGATGACCTTGGTTCACAATATCAGGATGCAAAATTGGTTTGGGAGGAGATGAGCAATAGTATGGGGAGAAGTCTCTAGTGGAAGTGGTCTACAGGCTCCCTTACAGTAACCACAATATAGAACAAAGTATTCAAGAACAAATATTGGGTTCTTGTGATAACAGGACAACAATAATCATGGGGAATTGTAATCACACAGAAATTGGAAAGATCAGGTTGGCAACAGTAAACTAGATGATGAGTTCATAAAGATACTTTCTCCAAAGCATTCTAAGAGTAACATGCTCTGGAACTGAGTGGGAAGCAGGTTATATTGGACTGGTACTCTGTAAAGAGACAGGGTTAATTAATGACCTCAGATTAAAAAGACCATGAGGCAAGAGCATCTACAAATGTTCAAATTTTACATCCAGTTTGAAAGGGAGTAATTTGCATCTAAGACTAGTATTTTAAAACCTGTATAAGGGCAACTCTATGGGCAGGAGAGCTGAGGTAGCTGAAGTGTCCTGGGATATTTGTTTAGAAAACATCAACAGAGAAGCAGCAGCAGATATTCAAGGGGATATTTAAGAATTCTCACAATAAATATATTCCCACTATGAAAAAATTCAAATGAGAAGTCACATCATCTGTGCTTAATTAAAAAAAATTAATCAAAGCATTAAACTTAAGGAAAAGCATAAAATTTGCACAAAGATGAGCGGCAGATCAGATGACTGGCCAGCATGTAAAGAACAGCAGACAATGACTAAAAGATTAATCAAGCGAAAGTGGTTAAGAGTATGAGAGGAAGCTGGACATAAATGTAAATGTGAATGTCAAAAATTTTTACAGAAGTTTAAATTGGAAAGAGTAAATAAAGTTAGTCTTCAGGAAGCAAAAATGAGGAGTTAGCAATAATAAGAAAATGGCTGATGAAATGAACAATTTTTCTTCTTTTGTCTTCCTTGTAGAGATAACACCTGTAATTCAGGATGTAGAAGGAAGAGATGAACTTCATGAAATTACAATCACCAGGGAGATGTCACTCAACAAAACCAATGGAGTTGGCAGGTCCCAGGTCCTTGTGGACTTCATCCCTGGGGTCTTAAAAGAAGTGACTAATAAGGTAGTAAATGCATTGGTGTTAATTTTCCAAAGTTGTTTAGATTCTAGAAGTACCAGATTGGTAAATACCAAATATAATCCTTCTACACAAGCAAAGGAAACAGGAAACATGAAACTTTAGGCTTGTTAGCTTGAAGTCCATCGTGGGAAAGGTGATAGAAGCAATCATTGAGGAGCTTATAGCTGGGCTTTAGGTAATTTGGAAAGTAAGCAGAGTTTTGTGAAAACAAAATCATGTTGAAACAATTTATTATAGAATCCCTACAGTGTGGAAGCAGGCCATTTGGCCAATCGAGTCTATACTGATCCTCTGAACAGCATCCCACCCAGACCCACCCGCCTATCCTATTCTTGTAACCCTCCATTCCCATGGCTAATGCACCCAGCCCACATAACCCTAGACACTATGGACAATTTAGCATGGCCAATCTGCCCAACCTGCGCATTGTTGGACAGTGGGAGGAAACTGGAGCATCTGGAGGAAACCCACGCAGACATAGGGAGAATGTACAAACTCCACACACATAAAATGACCCAATGCTGGAATTGAACCCAGTTCCCTGACACTGTGAGGCAGCAGTGCTAACCACTTAGCCATCATGGTGCTCTATGTTGGAAGCATATGACTGTTAAAGATCACATTGGTACAATAGTCAGAGATGACCTTGTTCACAAGATCAGGATGTAAGACGGGATTGGGATGAGATGAGGAATAGTAGGGGGAAGGAAATATTGAGTGGGAGTGGTCTACAGTAACAACAATGTGGAATAGATAACAGGGGAAAGGAAGAAATAAAATGCTCTGTTGGTAAAGAAGTCTATTAACATGCTCTTTTTGGATTTCCACAAACTATTTGGCAAGCCATGACATAAAAGGTTTTGTGCACAGTAGAAGTGCACAGCAGCATGTGATGAGTGGGGTTTGTGCTGGGTCCTCAAATTGTAAAGTTTATATCAACGATTTAGACAAGATGAGCGGTGGCATGGCAGCTAAATTCATAGATGACACCAAGTCAGAAAACTATGCCAAGAAGAGGACACAAGGAGGGTTGCAGATCAACATAGATTGGTTAGATGAGTTGACACAAATCTGGCAGATGGAGTATAAAGTGGGGAAATGTGATATTGTTCACTTTGGCAAGAGTAAAAAGGCAGAGTACTAAATGGAGAATGACTGTAGAATTCCAAGGTGCAGAGGAGATTTGTTGTTCAAGTGCTTCAGACACAAAAAAATTAGTATGTAGGTGCAGCATGTAATTAAGGTGGCTAATGGAATGCTACCTTTTATTGAGAGGAATTCAGCAAAGTAGGGACATTGTTTCCATTATACAGGACACTGCTGAGGCCACACCTTGAGTGCTGAGCATATTTGTTCTCCTTCTTTAAGGAAGGATGTAAATACATTGCAAGAAGCTCAGAAGAGGTTTACTGGATTGCTAAGTGGAATGGGTGAAAGGTTAACTTGACTGGGCTTGTTTTCCATAGAGTTTAGCTAAGTGAGGGGGTGACTTGATTGAAGTACAAACAGCCTGAGGGGTTTTGACAAGGTTGATATGGAAATTAGTTTTCTCCTGGTGGAAGAGTCCAGAAATAGGGGACATTGTTCTAAAATTAGGAGTCTGACTCCCTTTTAGGTCAGATGAGTGGAATGCTTTTCTCTCAAAAAGGGTTTGAGACTTTAAACTCTGCTTCAGAAGGCAGTGAAGGTGTGGTCATTGAATATTTTTTAATGAGAGGTAGGTAGATTTTTGTCAGTCAAGGAAATCAAAGCCTAATTGGGAGTAGGTGGGAACCCAGAATTCAAAATCCAAATAGATCAGCCAATATTCTATTGAATGGCTGAGCAGGCTTGAGAGGCGGTATGGCCTACTTCGGCTTGTGTTTCGCATTTTTCACCCTGATTACTGCAAATTCCTCCAGGTCTCTATAGCAGATTTCAGTGTTGTAGAATGGAGGGATACATGCATGAAAGGTACTGACATCAATGTTGGATTTGGACAGGTGTCAGGCATATTACAACTGGCTTCCACATCTCAGGTTAGCTGCAAGTAGCCAGCATACTCAAACCTGCTCCAAGTGCTTAAATGTAACAACACAACATATAACCTGGCAGTTACTTCCTGATTTTAAATCCCGATGTTACAGTCGGTAAGCAAAAGTTCAGCAACTCTCCGCAACTTGAACGTGAGTATCGAGAAATCCAGCAAATCCGGACCATTCTCATAGATCCAACAACAGTAGCAGCAGTTGGAGAAGTCAAGTGTTTACACTCACATCTCACATCTCACATCCAGGTACAGCAGGAAAGGAAACAGGAAAGGTGCTGGAGATAAATACCGAAGACAATTAACTGAAAATATACTTGGAGACTATTATTTAGTCCACTGGTGTGAGAAATTTTACAACGTATAGGTGGCATCTGTGATAGCTGTCTGAAAGATCTATTCATTTGGTTCCTTTGTGTTCTTTATAAAATATTTATCAATATCGTTTTTGATAATGTATCCACCATTATTTCTGGTAAGACACTCCATGTCCTAATCACATTCTGTGTATTTAAAAAAAGATCAAACACCTTCCTTCTTTCCTTTGGTGAAGATTTTATATTTGTACTCTTCAGTTAATAACTCTGATCAGAGGAAATAATTTCTCAAAATATCTCAATCATAATCACTTTTCTTTTTAAAAGACAGCAAAGAGTAAATTTATCTATAAAACAAAAGTCTTTCATCCTTAGTCTTGTTAGATCACTTATGTATTCTCTCTATAGCCCCTAACATCCTTCATGAAATACGATGCCCAAAACAGAACCACAATGTTCTAACTACAGGCCAACCAATGTTTTGTTTAAGTTTTGTATGATGTCTTACTGTTCAGACCCATGCCCCTTATTAACAAAACCAAGGATTCCATATTTTTTTTTAAAAGCACAGCTTTTACATATTATCCTCTCTTTTGAAAGGCATAAATAGCAATTAAGTCTCTACGTTTTTACATTCCTTTTAATGTTTGACCATTGGGTATAGATGTTCTTTTCTTATTCTTCCACCTAAGATCTATCAGCTAGTTTATCAGCATTAAAAATTAAGTCCATTACAGTCCTCTTCACAGTTGGTCATAAATATTACTTTCCTGTTGTCTTATAAATTATATTAGTGCCTCAAACACAAATCTAGTGAATTCCTCAAATAAAATGGAATACTTGAAGTCATACAAAAGGTCATTCAGCCCCTTGATATTGTTCCATAATTCAAGTAAATCATGACTGACCTAGATCCTGATCATGCATCACTTCTAATGTGGGATAAAACAAATGCAGAAAAATATGCTTGACAACTCACCAGCTGGAATATCAAGCTCAACTCCAACCCAAATTCCAGCAGAGAAATCCACTGTGCCAACATATCGAATGGTTCCATTCTTGTTGTTTCCAACAGATACACGTTCTCCCAGCATGATCCAACTTGGTAGAGGTTCACCTTGTTCTGCAGTTGCGCTGTCCTGAGTATCTTCTAAATCTGAGAGGTTCTTTGAAACAGAGTTATCTGGGTTGGGGGCATTATCAAATGCTTCCTCATGGTCAGCTTCCTCACAATATAGCATGTTCTCAGAGGTATTTGTTAATCTATTATCAAGTACAGTAGTCTGTGATTGATCACGTGCCACACTACAAGAATCCTCAGGAAGCTCTGAAATATCATTTGTACATTTTACTGCAGAATGTTGCCATTTTTCATCAAGATCTAGACTATCTACAGAAAGTCTATTAGAGTTATCAGAGGAATCGGTACTGTAAATCATGGGTTCATCAGGCAGCTCAAGATCCTTTCTTGCTTCCTCAGCACCTTGAAAATCTGTGAAATCTTGACTGCTGAAAACGTCTACATTCACGGTTGAATTGAAAGAATCATCATCATCTCCACCATCTTCGGATATGCTACCTTGTGGTTTTAATGTACAGGGCAATGAATCTGATGAATACATATCTGGGAGTGTTCTATAAACAAGTATAGATTTAGACTCAATAAACTGTTGCAATACTGAGGTTTCATTCACTAAGGCACTATTTGTTGGGAGTGACACACTCTTCTGTATGTCTTTTAAATCGGCATTTTGTTCCTCAATTCCATCTTCCTTTCCAGAAGATAATTTTCCATCAGACAGGCTAATTTGTGACACAGTATCCCGAAGGTCAGAGTTTCGTGTCTGGTTACTTAGCTGATCTGCGCTCTCAGTACCAGTGAATACCACATCAGAAAGCGTTGCATTAGAGGCACTGTGGGAGATGTAACCACTTGTCATACTGCTCGTTGTTGGACTGCGAGAAACCTCATTTTCAAGGAAACGAGAACTCGGGCATTCTGGCTTGGATGAAAACAAATCTCTGTTCTCAAGGCTTGCATTGTACACATCAAAGTCTGCAAAATCTTCTGGAATGTAAGGCTGGAAACCATGAAAGCCTTGAGAGCTGCTCATTTTCTTATTGAGATTCTCCACTTCATAATCCTCCTCTTCCGAATCCTGCAGTAAGGACATTTGCATAATAAACACATAACTACTTTTTAAATCCTATTGAAAAAAATGAAGCAGCATACTGGTTCAGACACCACACTGGATTTTCTGGCTGATTTGTTGGAATTGCAGATTTTCTCCAATTAAAAGCTTTTTTCCCCCCAAATGCTCTCATTAAATTTCTGTGAATAAGTCATGCAAATTGTTCAATTAAAGTTTGGCAATATTTTGTCTGCTGAATGATCAGCTTAGTATGTCCAAATATATAGACCTGACTGGTAAACTTTCAATTCATGGGGAGTTGAAAAACATGCGCACAAGTTGAAAGTAGCAACACTGCAAAAATGTATTCTGCCATTTGTATAACTGAATGCTCTTGTTAAATGCTATATTTAAATAAAGTTGAAAATCTGTAACTAATATTAGGTTGTGAAACAGAACCAAAGTTTAAAAGAGAGATAGCAAGAACTGCAGATGCTGGAGTCAGAGATAACAAAGTTTGGAGCTGGAGGAACACAGCAGGCCAGGCAGCACCAGAGGAACAGGAAAGCTGACATTTTGGGTCGGGACCCTTCTTCTGTTCCTCTGATGCTGCCTGGCTTGCTGTGTTCCTCGAACTCCACATTGTGTTATCGAAGTTTAAAAGAGCCTATTTTATTCAATTTTATAAGCCTTTGGTTCAGTATTGCCAATCATACAGTACATTGCAACTTGTTATATGTGTACAGCTTTGTTACAGCAGGATCTAGTATTGTTTATTCCACAATTTTGCACAAGTTGTCTACTTTCATTGTATCAATTTTGCGAGCAATTTCAGGTGAGTTTCTGAAATATGCTTCTCCACCTTAACAAAGTGTGCATAACAAATAATTCATCAAGATTAAATATCATAAGATGGCTACCACCATTTTCACAGGTAAATATGCTACAGAGATGTCAGATAATAATAAGGTCTCACCTTTCCCATTTCTTGGAAAATTAATGACAAGTTGAGAATTCGGAAACAGGTTCAAAGACATAATGAAAACTCTCAACTATACTGCCAGAATGAATTCTGGTTTTGATCTTTATGTAAAAAAGGCTCTTCACTTTCAGAGAACTGTCAAATTTTAATTTAAAAAAGTACTTAACTGTACTTAAATATAAATAATTCTATATCAGATCACGATCTGTTATATCTACCTACACACATAATAAGGGTCTGACTTAAACTTTTCACCTAAAAAGATCTTCATTCAAAATTGGGGTTCCTTCGTACTCACTCCAAATTCAGTAACACAAAAGAATACCATAAAATAAAGGCAAACTTTAAATGGAACAAACCCTAGCTGTAAACCTATACACCATGTCAAACGTAGGTCAAGCAGGTAACATGTAGCAACTCATTTCCATGCCTATTCTCTTCAACTAGCAAATCTTCAAAGTGTAAAGACATTGCACAATAAAGATTTGAAGTTCTGAGGTTACAGCGTATTCACAATCATGTCCTTCTAACCCATAATTTGTGAATGGGCATGAAATTTACATTGGAAAATTAAGGGTGGAAGCAGTAGTCCTTGACCAACATGTAACAATGTTGTAACCATCTAGGTATGTAATTCATTGATGCAGCAAAGCAATTTTTGGAGGCAGCTCAGTTCAATGATTATGAATAGATAACCTTAAAATAGTCTATCAGAAAAAAATTATCTCCAGATTAACTTTTCCCAATGATATCATCTTGTATGATGAGTGTTGTACTATTCCCACTTCAAATCTTGATGAATCATTCCATCACAATTTCAGAACATGAAGATGTAAAGATGATGAATAAATTAATTTCAAAGGTGAGGTTTTTTAAAAATGTAATCTGCTTGTAAAATGATAATCAAAACCCAAATGTTGTTAGAGTTATTTAAGTATAGGGCGAGAAAGCTGAGAAAAAGCCTACAAAATCATTACTTTTTGCGCTGTCAATAGCTCTCCACATCTAATTACTTTTTGTATACTAAAAGATGACTTATGCCCATGAACTCTCCTAAAGTAGTAGGTGAAATGCAGCATGTTATCCTCCACATCAAAAACAACATACATTAATTAGGGTAAACCACAAAAAAAATTTCAAACTTTAGCAATAGAGACAGAAAAAGTCTTGATTACTGGAAAACACAACATATTTGTGTGCACGAGAAAGACAGATTATATTCGTATGGTGCTGGAACAGGAACTTGTTGAGGTGATCTTACTATTCTACTTTGAAGAAGACTGGAAAGATACATATTTCCACTCTAGCCTCATGGTACTTAGATGCCCATCCCTATAAAAAGTGATCAGCATGAGCCAAGTTACTTTCATTAGTGTATTTTCAACAGCACTAAGAATTCTGGGGTAATACCACAATTAGTTAGCTATAGCAAAAAAGTACACAGACGCATCGAGAATGATGGAATGTTTTTGCTATAATATTGATCAGTGAAGCTATTCCACCCAATGCAGGATGGCACTAAAAAAAATCCAGGCAAAATTAAAAATTTGATTTGCATTCTGTAGCTGTAAAACGGTCGTCAACCAAATCTGAGATTTTGTGATGCTTAGTCCACAACCTATATGACTGGAATGCTCTTCCTTATTGGCCTACAATTGAGAAAGTCATTATTTATCCCATTATTATCCCGTCCAAACTGTCTGACTTTGTCTCAGCTGAAATGTCATAAATCAATGAATCATGCTGGAAGATTTTTAATTCGGTGGTTATCTTTTGTTTTGAGATGAAGATCAGTCTGTGATTAGGTATTTGTAGATTTATGAGTATTTTCAAAATCTGAAATAGATTTCCATTATTCAGTAGAAATTCAAGAAGAAAATGTTGCTGAGTGAGAGGGAAAATATTAGTCCAGTGTACCTCCAGGAAATAAACTACACTGGAAAGGTAACGGATTAATTTTCACTGTTGCCAATCAGCAGTACCTATAAACAGATGAAATAAGGTCAGATTGCTTAAACTTAAGTTAAAATACACAATTACATCATCTGATAATAGAACAGTCTAAGTTTGTTTCTTGGGACATACAAGAAGAAATGACATGGTGAATCTTCTGGAAAAGCACTGTATATAGAATACCAAACATTGCAATATATTTGTGTGGGAAAATGCAATTTGCAATGCAATGAAGCTTAATATCAAAATAGCAAACATCATATTTTGAACAACCAATTCATTGGTGATACTAATGTGAATTGTACTAAGATGAATCAGTACAACAAACTTTTCACTGTTCGACCATATGCAGTGATGGTAGCCTTGGTAGACATTTTAAAAAACACATATAAGCAATCATAGACACGACAGAATGTTGATCCACACAGCTGAAAAGGTAACTAAAGATGGAAAAGGAAGTGACCAACTTTGCAGCACTAATTGGAATTGCATCTTGAAAAATAGTCTGTTTGAGCCAGGAAGGCATGATGCACACATGCATAGAGTGCAGAGTAGAACTATTTGGCTAATCCTTAGTTTATGAAACCTGAGTTACAAAAAAAGACATGATAACTGAACTTTTCAGCAGAAAGATAACATTCAACATTATACAGGCATATCATTAACAGAAAAGGTAGGTGTATTAATTCTTTAAATTAAATTCAATTGTTGAAGCAAAGTGTAAGGGTCATAGGTTTAAACTAATGAAAGACAAACTATGGACTGATATAGAATTTTTTTCTCCAAGAGTGAACTTGTGCAATGGACTTCTACATTCAATATTGGTGGTGATGGCCTAATATTATCAAAGAAACAACTGGATGGTATGGTTGGAGAACTTAACAATATTTCTGGATAAATTATTAAGATGAACAATGTGGTTTCTGGCATGCATTATCTTGTGGTCTATAGATCATATAGACAATAGAGTACAATTTAGTATGCAGCAGAACACAACAGGCAAACTGAGTGAAACATTTACACAAGAATCTCCAAGCAGGTTTTAGAAAGACATATGTTAGTACAATGCAGCCTACTAGATCAATGCTTCCTGAAAGCCTTCGAGAAGAAAATATTCTCAAGAAAATGAACAAAGCTAATGTGCCCTCTCACCACCATGAAAATAAGAACATATTCATTTATGAGCTAAAGGGGAGGTGCATTGTACAGCTAGGGTCTAAATCCAGTTTCGTTTATCAAGTGAAAATGTAACATTAGTTTCATAATCTATCATATTTTCCTTATTGATCTCTATATTTTATAGTGACCTTCTATGTTCTGAAGAGGATATTTTTGCATTAATATTTTTGAATAATCGCTTTCTAATTGCATTTCTCTATTAGCAGCTAATTTCAAAAATATAAACAATGATAATATTTTCATTTTCTTCATTTTTAAGCAAACATCTAAATTTAAACTGTAAGTTTCTCAAACTAAGGTATTTAGCCCCTAATTATGTTCAGACACAAAATGAGACAAGAAAGAAACCTTCCAGTAAGTAAAATCATGTTTACAAAATGCGGGATACCCTTGTGTTTCAAATAATTTATATGCTCAACAGTTTTGCAATACACTTGAATATATTTTATAATTACATATTAGAAGAAAACAGACAAACAGCTTGCCTGCAGAGCACACAGAAAATTATGGCTGCATTCATAAATGCTTCAGCCATAATCCAAGTGAAAGGACCTTAATCCCACCACCAAGTATTATGACTTAAATAAAAGGAAAACTTACAAATGTGTCCTCATTTTCGTTACCATTTTCAACTGATATGGGGATGACACTGGTTCCTGTGGGCACAACACTGCTACTGCTATGTACCAGCATGCTTTTATCCTGAGGGGGAGACATGCTCTGCAATGGTCGAGACACACAATGGAAAAATGTCACACTGCTAATGACACATTGATCAAGACTACAGACATGCAGTTAGTCGATCCACAACAAGACTACAGTTTTAACATCGATATTGTACACAAGCTACGGTGGTTTGCAAACATTCAATTCATGCACAAAAAAAATTGCACCTTCATTACATTTGAGTGGTTGAGTTAAATTTATTTAACTGATGGCCTCTAAGAAATAAAAATGAACTAAATTTAAATGTCATCAATTATCAACCATCTGTAACAGATTTGCTGTGGTACTCTGCATACAATACATAATAATTTTCATTCACCATGCTACACAATGGGATTATTACTTTCTTTCACATTAACCAATTAAAGCTAATGGCACATGCTATTTAATGTATTATTGCTGCAAACGCAACTCCAATTGAAAATGAATGAATGTTCAGACTTAGCTTAATTAGTTCCAAAACAGATTACTTAATTCAGTTATCTACATTCTTCTCACATAGTGACAGCATCTGTGTTCCATGCAAAAGCTATGTTTTATTCAGCAGCTACAACAGTAATCGTTTACTGAAACAAACAGTCACAAAGTACTGCTAATACAATAAATGAAATTAGTTTAGGGGTTACCAAATTCTTGTAATATCTCAATAAGCAGTAACACTTGGGCTTTCTGACAGTGTTATTTATCTTAAGCTAGTTGTCATGCCTCGTGATGGGACAATCCCTTCGTTTGATCACGATTTTTACTGTATTGACAAATAAATAACTAATTGGCAAGGATGCTGTGGATACATGGTATTAAGTTTAAGAAATCAGAAAAACAGCAAAACAATCAGGGAAGCTCAACTGTCTTTAATGACAACATTCTTCACTCTTCATCTTGTGTTTTGGTAGTGTCTATCAATTTGAACTGTTATGGCAGATTCTCCCAGAAACATTCCCACTTATCAGATGTAATGAAATTTGTTATGCAGTTGCTATAATTTTACTTACAGATTCTAAAGGCAGCTAGCAGTAAGCAAGTTGTGTTATCAATCGATACAATTGAAGAAATGTACATTGCATTCATACACCAGGAAAGCTGACTTATACTAAGAATCCAAGAGGTGTATAACATTGAGCAAAAGGAAGCAATACACTGGAAGACACAAGACCAGCTTGAGAAGGATCTAATTACCCTTTGAGCTTTTATATTGTTTAATGCAACACTCATCTCTCCCAACCATTTAAATGAGAGGATGGAGTTAAATCATAAGAACATGTGACATTTTTTTGGTAACAAAAAGTGGAATTTATTACGGCTATTTTACATTCTGGTTTGGATTCTGAACAGACAGTTTTTCCATTCTCCCCCAACACTTTGCTTCTAACTAAGAATATATTTTGGTCAAACTATGAATGATTGTGATAACAAAAGTGGATAGCTGCTTATTGAACTGTTAAAAGCTTGTTTATCAAATGACAAATTTACTACCTCCTACCCCCTGAAGTTCAAGTTTCCAACCTAACATATTCAGATACACGTAATAGTGATCAAAGCTACAAGTAAAGTATTTCTACTGAAGTAAAGTATTCAACAAAAAAAAAGGGGCAGAAGAAAATGAAACAGAACAAAACAACTTAGAAAGACTCATCTTTTGCCAATTTCATGGAAACAGATTAATATTTTTTAAAGTAAAATAAAGTACTCATTATAGCAAACTTATTATAGAATGACCAACATCAAGCAAATTGTTCCTTGTTTCGGGGTCACATATTAAGGCTTAAGCACTATCAGTTGTATTGCTTATTGTATTGAACTCTTTTTAAGAATTCCAACAATCAAGTTCCACTGTATTAAAAGGATGTGCAATTTTCCTTATAACTTTAACTATTACCTCATGTGCAAGGAGAGGTTTGGTTTCCAGAGGTTGCTTGCCCTTTCGTTCCTCTCTTACAGGCATAAGTGACTTCAGGAACTTAGGTGGTTGGGTAGAGAATGCTTTAAGTGGACTCAATGAATGAGGACTGTCTGGTGCAGCACCTATGAGTGAGGGAAACAAAATGAACAAAACACCATGGAATAACTTCAGCAACAGGACCTGGGTATGTATGTACATAAGTCATTAAAAATGGCAGGACAGATCAAGTGAGCGCTCAAAGCATACAGCATCTTTGGTTTAATCGATAGGGATGTAGAATACAAGAGCAAGGAGGTTTTGTTGAGTCTGTATAAGACACTAGATCGATGTCAGCTAGAGCACTGTGTAGAGTTCCAGGCATCTTACTTTAGGAAGAATATGAAAGCATTGGAGAGAATGAAGAAGAGGTTAATGAGAATGATTCTAGGCATAAGAAACTTTAACTATGAAGACAGATTGGAGAAATTTGAAGTTTTCAAAACCACAAGGGGGCAAGACAGAGTAAATAGGGAGAAACTGTTCCCATGCATGAAAAGTTGGAGATTCCAAGGGAATGGATTTAAGTTGAGAAAGAACCATATATGTGCTTTGACAAAATACTTTTTCGCACAACAAGTAATTCATATCTGGAACACACCATCTGGAAAAGTGTTGGAGCCAGGTTCAATTGAGGCATTTGACATAGCATTGAATGTCTTTTCTATTAGACATGCATTCAGGAAAAGGCTGGAGAATGGCACTAAGCCACAAATCTCATTCATAGAGTCAATACAGACACAAATGTCTGAACATTCTCCTTTTGCACTTTAACAATTGAGATTTCATACAACTGTCAACTGCAATTATGATGAACAATTTTCTTTTGAGAAAACATGAACTGTTTTTAGATTTAAGCATGAAAACCTTGTTGGTGTTTAGAAGTATTACTGCAATGGGTCAACAGGTTTTTCTCTATTCACCACCACCACCACTTCTACGATATCAGACAGCTTCATCTCAGTTGAGATTCAGAGTTTCTTATGAGTTATTTTGTTAAAAGAGGGAGAACAGAATGAGAGAGAGCAAGGGAAGTGAGGGGGTTAGGGCAGAGAGTAAAATATTTGAAACACAGATCTCAAGTATTCCAAGATGCCTGACAAGATGAATATTTAAAACAAAATTAACATATTTATAATACATACCTATACAGTATAACGTGAACATGATCTATCCTATTAAATATGGCTTACATTTGTCTTTTTATGACATGTATAATTACTTGACTTTATTTTGTTAAAAACTATATATACCTCCAGTGTCTTTCACCCTGCGTGGTAAATCTTTAGGTAGGGTGTTATACCAGGAACATTCTTGAGTGTTGAACAAGCAGTCAGAAATATCATGATGGCTTTCTGAACGACCCTAGCAGCATCAGCAAGACAAAAAATGGTTTATTGCATTTACAAAAAAAAGTCAATTATGTTTAGTTGTGTAGAATGGGTAGAGAATATAAATAGTTAAGCCACATAGTCCAGAATGAGAAGAGGAAACTATTGCTGATTTGGATGTGCAAATCAATGAATATTCCTAATCATTCTCGTGATAGAGACAATACAAGCAATGTGATTGTCTACTTGATGCAGAATGAAGTCTTTTATTGCATAGTAACAAACTGACACTACTGGGACAGAGAAGTTGCACCGCTATTGGAACCAAAGGTGCTCCTTTAATGAGCAGAATCAGGTTTAACCTCAACTACTTTGTGGCAGAGAATTCCACATTTAGTTCCCTTACCTAACTCATTAATATATATTGTGAATAGCTGGGATCCAATCATTGATCTCTGCAGTATCCTCTAGTCATTGGCTGCCACTGGCAAAAGACCCATTTAATCCTACTCTCCTTCCTGCCTGCCAACCAGTTTTCTATGCATGTCAATACACTACGCCCAGTGTCATGTGTTTTAATTTCACATGCTAATCTCTGATGTGACACATTATCAAAAACCTTCTGAAAGTCCAAGCAAACCGCTTTAACTGGCTACCCCTTAACAATTCTATGAATTACATCCTCGAGAAATTTCAGTGGATTTGTCAAGCATCATTTTCCTTTCCATAAACCCATGCTGACTCTCCAATTCTGTTATTGTTTTCTGAGCGCTGTGCTGTTGCATCTTGTATAATGGACTCCAGCATTTTCAGTCCCACTGATGTCAGGCTAACTGGTCTATAATTTCCTGTTTTTACCGCTCAACCTCTTTTTTTATATACATGGCTTATATTAGCTACCTCCAATCCATTTGAATGGTTCCAAGAGTCTATAGAATCTTGAAAAATGACCCCCAACACATACACTATTTCTAGGACCACTTCCTTAAGTACTCTGGCATGCAGTCCAGCCATGTCTGTACTAGCATCATGCGGTGTTATGAACTTCTTAGTCTATAAGAATTTTAACTTTACTGTCCTTTTAATCAAGATACAATAATATAACTACAAAAGCAAAACACAGCAGATGCTGGAAATCTGAAATAATACAGAAAATGTTAAAAATACTCGGGAAGTCAGGCAGCCCCTGGGGACAGAGAAACCGACTTAATGAGATAGATTTTTATAACGGAGGTGAAACACGGGAGTTTGATCATATGTGACAGAAATCCAAACTGGCCTAGGTTCATATTTTAATCAGGAAGAGCCCTTATCTGATATGGAGACAAGTTTTTTGTCCAATTAAAGGTGGTGGGGCAGGAATGGAGGTAGCTATCACTGAGGTTGTTAGTTGTCCAAAGAGCAATTCTGATGTCTCTGATGTAAACTGTCAACACTCAGGGCTGCACTGGTTCAAGATCCACACCGCTCTGGGCCACCATATTATGGATAGTGTATCAGATCACAACAATAGCAGAGACCCCTGCAGGAGGGTGTTGGAGGGCACTACCTGACCAATTCAGGAATGCTCCCACTTACCTCAGCCTGCAAAACCTCTTCAGTTGTGAACCAGATGTGTTGTTCGGTCTAGGTAAAAAGAGTCTCTGTCATCTGGGTAATATATTGGTGCACAGCAGCCTGTGAGATGCCACAGAGATCTGCATTGACAAGGGTATACACATCTGTGATTATCTGCCTAGAGAGTTGCAGTGTCTATAAACAACAGTTCTCAGTTACCTCTATACTTTCTTCACCTCTGCCTATAGCTCTTATGTCTAGGGTAATGTCGTCTTCTCATTATTTATTCTTCTCCTCTGATACCTGGAGTTGTGTGTTCCTTTGCAGGCTGCTGCTCATCTTCAGTGGTCTTGATTTCTGAGGATGTATCACCCAGTTCCAGTCGCAGCCTTAATATTGCTCTGCTCCATTAGACCATAAGATATAGCAGAATTAGGCCATTTGGCCAATTGAGTCTGCTCCACCATTCAATCACGTCTGATATGTTACTCAATGTCATTCTCCTGCCTCTTCGTCATAATCCTTAATCCCCTTACTAATCAAGAACCTATCTACCTCTGTCTTAAATACACTCAATGACATGGCTTGCGTTCAACTTTGATCACTGTTCCAATGCTGGAAGGATAATGATTTCTGAACCAAAACACTGCCAAAGTTCCAAAATCTGTCTGGTCCCTGGACTAGAGATGGCGTGTTGCAACTTGAACTTTGAAGGGATAAGCCACTTCACCTTTAGAAAGCATAAGCACGTACTTTTCTGAATTTATCTGGCCTCCATAGCTTGCCCCTGTAATGGTCCTTGCTTGCCTTCAGCAGATATGAGACAGACAGCTGTTGAATACTGTCTGCCTCCAGGAGGATTCAAAACATTTGTAAAAATGAACTGTATAAACTCATCAGAGCCTTTAGACCCTTCTGAGGAAGGGTCACTGGACCCGAAATGTTAACTGTTTTTTCCTTCACAGATGCTGCCAGACCTGCTGAGCTTTTCCAGCAACTTTGTTTTTGTTCCTGATTTACAGGATCCGCAGTTCTTTCAGTTTCTCTAGTCATTTACAACCTTACATCGGTCTGTTGAGGCACACCTGCAAGCTTCAAGGACCACATCCTCATCCTGAGAAAAATCTGAGATGCCAGAAATGGAAGTGGGAGATTTAGTTGAATGAAATCACCCCTATATTTTCAGGTTTCACACCTGTTTCAGCCCAAATAAGGCTGCGAAAATCCAGCCTGACCTTTTAGAACAATGAGCTTTCATCAAAACTACTTTATGAGACATTGTCAACATGAAAACACAATTTTCTTTCTTCCCTCAGGTGCAGCCTAATGCAAGTACTTCCAGCACTTTGTTCTTATTCCACCAATAAAATTGTTGATTGCATGTTTTGCAGTTGAGTTGTTCATGCATCTACAAATTTAAATACCTGTCCATGCCTTAACAGTTGTTTGTGAACAAATTCACAAGATTCAAATATGACCCATGCTATTGCCACTGGAGCATATGCAAAACAGGGAAGTGTTACGCATCTCTCTCCCAACAGTAATTTAACTTGAGTAGATAAATTTCAATCACAATGACGAAAGAGGCTTCTGAGCTCATTGTTCCATACAAGCTTACAATTCACCAGCCTAATCACTGCCGCATAAATGCTTTCAGAATTTGTGGCTTCACTGTCCTTAGCTGGGAGATCATTCAATACAATTAGTGGTTGATATCAACAGGTCCTTCTGGACATCAAATCCTGAAGTTAATCAATCAAGGAGTTGGGAGGAAAGTTACATTCTTGGCATCAGCTGTTATAATCCATACTTAGTGCTCTAGTTCAAAATTAGATTGCTTACTAATCTTAGCGCCGAGATCCTGATCTTATGCCGCAATTTAAGGGTTGGGGAATAGCAGGTCTATCACCTTTCCATTCATTAAAAAAAAGTGACAGAAAATCAGGTTCTATTGTGTAATTATATGATATTGTTATTGATTATTCTGAGGATTTCCACCTCTTAAGATCACTGATTTCAGGCTTTTAACTGTGATTTCCCTACAGTTCTAGCATACATCTATTATTTTTGTGTAATGTTTAACAACTCATTGGTAGCATACCCTGTATTCATCCTCTTCATATCCAGAAAGATCTGATCGATTACTGGAAACCTGTAGAAATCAGATATAGCAAAACAAAGGAGAGATTTTTGAATAATCATTTCTTGCCCCACAATGTCTTCCATTCTTGCTTTGATCTAAGATTGTGAAATTCAAGCAGCACATTTAATACATAGTTGCAATCTTCAGGCATATTATATTTCATACTTTTTGATATTTACTATAGCAAATACTGTGAAAGATGTGATTTGCAATAAAATTAATACAATTTTTCTAAGCAATATAAGCATCTAGAAGCAGTAGGCACACTACTTTCCTTGCAATATTTAAGCAGTATAAAAATGAATGCATTAAAACCATCTTGCATCTTTTATACAAGGTAGTCTTCAAATAAGCACAGAAATGCTAACATTCAGAAATGCTTCACAGTACAATTAAGATTGTCTAATACAGGATATCTTGCTTCAGTGCATCACTCATATTTCTGCATTCCATGGTCAAAGACTTTAATTAAACACTTAAAAACACCAAAATGATACAATATTAATTTCTGTTTAAAAACAAAAGCAAAGAGGAGAGCAAATAATATCTGGTGAGAGCATGCTGTTTCCTTCTACTGCACTGATTCAGACATAAGGTGGGCAGTGAAATACGGTTGCAGGCATACAGTGTGGCAGCAAACAGTAGGAGACAACTATATAGCATAGGAACAGAACACCTGTTTCCACTACTGCCTTGTTGTCCCTCACTTCTTAAATATTTTCTAAAAGACAACAACTTAAATTGCGTACACTTGTTCAATGATACCCAAATCATTAACGAAGTCCAGTGGCTGAAATAGGAACAAGTCTACTGCAAATACTGTCAGCCACCAAGTCAAGAAAGCAATACATGAGCAACATCCATGTAAGAATTTAAAAGGCATTAGCTCAAACTATTAGAAAAATTCAATTGGCCGGCTGTCTGCTGCTAACTTCAGCCTGCTGCAATGTACATGCATGCATGATGTCAGGTATTATCGTTCATACCTTTCACAACAACACCTCCAGACCAAGGTTTGCAAAGCCAGTCTTGCCTTACTCCCAGCTGACTGATTTCAGTTTCTTCAGATCCCTCAATAAGAGCTTTCACCAATGGCATGAAAGTGTTCAGCTGAATCTTGGTCATTGAAGTATTTTGGGTGGGGGATGAATTGGCTGGAGAGGATGGACAGCTTTTCCCTAACAGGTGATGGGTGACTTTGAAACATTCTGTTGTAAAATGAAGTTGTTACTGTAATAATAAGGATGATTTTAATTGACCTTCCTGGGCAAATACAGTCTGTCCTTCAGTTATTCCAGGAAGGATTAATCAATCTGCCACAATAAATGATTTTAGCCCTTATTGTTGTGAGAAGCTTTTAGTTGCAATACAGATACCACCTTGCTACATATTAATTTCAGAACCATTCCTCTTAGTCTGCACATGGGCCATCATGATCCTTGTACTGCCAAACGAGATTATCTGGAAATGATGTGTAGTAAATACCTTGCTTCACATCTGTGATTATATTTTTGATTGTTTTCTTCAGTGGTCAAGTTGTTATGAAATTATCCAGTTGTGTAGAATTCCAGAGTGCTATGAACATTAAAGGAAGCTAATACAGTTAAACATACAGGTCATGGAGAAAGCTCTTGTTTTAATTAATCTTGCTCAACTATGAAATTAGGAAAATGACACTGGATCTGCAAAGTACCTCCATAAACAAACTTAACTAACTGCAGGAGTACAAACACCGTTTTCGTTCACACACCAACAGATATTTGTTGTACAAGATAAAAATGAACAAGGTTTCATTCATTTTTTATTTCCACTCATCTCACCAAATTTTTGCCTGTTCAGGATAGGTAATCCAAGATTAACACCTGCAATCCTTTCCTATTTAGTTTTTGTTTTCCACAGCTCGGTGGTCAAGCTAGGTCATGAGCAACCTGAACTACCTCCTGAACATTATTGTAATTCCAATGGACTAATGTTATGTTGAACAGCAAACTTGTCAAGATAATTGCATGATCTTCTCATTTTACAAAAGTTCCCAATTATAACAATGGTATAGAGTTTCAGCAGTATATTTTATCTAGGGTGAACACTTTATTTCTCTCTCAGGGAGATACAGGTGTCAAAGAGCATTCACTTCAAAACAACGTCACTTTATGTAGGTCAGGCACCTTTCAAGGGGATTCCAGTTATACGTATCTGAGAGAATTTTCTGGTAAACTTGCAAGACATCTTTATCATGGTAGTGTCATAATGGATATGAACGCAGATTAGCAACAGGGCTATATTTTTGGCTAATTGTACAACCTTCGCTCTCATCCAGCAAGGTTAAGGCCATAAGACATAGGAGAAGAAATTAGGCCATTCGGCCCATTGAGTCTGCTCCGCCATTCAATCATGGCTGATAAGTTCCTCAACCCCATTCTCCCGTTTCTCCCTGTAACCCTTGATCCCCCTGATTATCAAGACCCTATCTATCTCAGTCTTCAATGTACTCAATGACCTGGCCTCCACAGCCTTCTGTGGCAGTGAATTCCATAGATTCACCACTCTCTGGCTGAAGACGTTTCTCCTTATCTCCGTTCTAATAGGTCTTCCCTTTACTCTAAGACTTTGCCCTTGGTCCCAGTCTCTCCTACAAATGAAAACATCTTCCCAACATCCACTCTGTCCAGGCCATTCAGTATGCTGTAAATTTCAATTAGATCCCCCCTCATCCTTCTAAACTCTAATGAGTATAGTCCCAGGGTCCTCAAACATTCCTCATATGTTAAGCTTTTCATTCCTGGGACGATTCTCGTGAACCTCCTCTGAACCGGCTCCAGGGCCAGTACATCCTTCCTGAGATATGGGGCCCAAAACTGCACACAATACTCCAAATGTGGCCTGATCAGAGCCTTATAAAGCCTCAGTAGTACATCCCTGCTTTTATATTTAAGTCCTCTCAAAATAAATGCCAACATTGAATTTGCCTTCCTGACTACTGACTCAACCTGCAAGTTTACCTAGAGAGAATGCTGAACTAGAACTCCCAAGTCTCTTTGCACTTCAGACTTCTGAATTTCCTCCCCATTTAGAAAATAGTCCATGCTTTTATTCTTCTTACCAAAGTGCATGACCTCACACTTTCCCATGTTGTACTCCATCTGCCGATTCTTTGCCCACTTACCTAATCTGTCCAAATCCTTCTGCAGCCTCCCCACCTCCCCAATAGTACCTGTCCTTCTACCTATCTTTGTGTTGTCCGCAAACTTAGCCAGAATGCCCACAGTTTCTTCAGCTAGATCATTAATGTATAAAGTGAAAAGCTGTGGTCCCAGCATTGACCCTTGTGGAACACCACTGGTCACCCACTGCCATCCTGTTATCCCCACCCTCTGCTTTCTGCCAGACAGCCAATCTTCTATCGATGCTAGCATCTTATCTTGCTCAGCAGCCTCCTGTGCGGCACCTTGTCAAAGGCCTTCTTGAAGTCCAGGTAGGTAACATCCATTGGCTCTCCTTGGTCTACCCCGCTCGTTACTTTCTCAAAGAATTCTAGCAGATTTGTCAAGCATGACCTCCCCTGTTGAAACCATGCTGACTTTGCCCTATTTTACTATACACTTACAAATATTCAGAAATCTCATCCTTTACAATGGACTCCAAAATCTTATCCACGACTGAGGTTAGGCTAATCGGCCTGTAATTTTCTGTCTTTTGCCTTACTCCCTTTTTAAACGGGGGTGTCATGTTAGCAATTTTCCAGTCCTCTGGGACCCACTCTGACTCCAGTGATTCCTGAAAGATCACCACTAACACTTCCACTATCTCTTTAGCTGTCTCCTTTAGAACTCTGGGGTATAGTTCATCTGGTCCAGGTGATTTATCCAGCTTCAGGCCAATCAGTTTTACCAGTACCTTTTCCTTGGTGATGGCCACCATACTCAGCTCTGCTCCCTGACTCTCTTGAATTTTTGGGAGATTACTCAGGTCTTCCACTGTGAAGACTGACACAAAGTAATTATTCAGTTCCTCAGCCATTTCCTTGTTCCCCATTACTATCTCTCCACTGTCATTTTCCAGTGGTCCAATGTCCACTTTTGCCTCTTTTCTGCCCTTTATATATCTAAAGAAACTCCTAGAGTCTTCATTTACATTACTGGCTAGCTTACCGTCATATTTAATCTTCTCCCCCCTCATTTCTTTTTTGTTGCCCTCTGTTGGTCTTTGTAAGCTTCCCAGTCCTCTGGTTTCCCACTGCCCTTTGCCACATTATATGCTTTCTCTTTTGCTTTTATGCTATCCCTGACTGACTTAGTCAGCCATGGTTGCCTCATCAGCAGTAAAGCCACAGATTATACCACACTTGTTAAAGGACATTATATGTGGAAACTTGTTGGTTCTGTTACTAAATATTGTAAACTCTCAAACTTAAAATTTGCTATTACTAAACAATGCACGGTTGGACTAATTTTAAATAAATGCTGATTGATTAGTTCAATTTATTACTCAATGTTTAGCCAATACAGACTTTTTACTACTGTGGATCAACTCCATTTTCTTCATTAAATTGCTCAGACCCTTGAACCAAAAAAAGGGCTTCCTTTCATTGTCAGATGTGCGCGCCTAGGCCACTAATTTTAACTACTGTCTTTATTTTGATACTTACTGTTGATCTCCAAACTGATTCTACTTTATAGAAAAGGTAATCATAAAATGTACTTTGGTATTTATCCAAAACATCTAGGCGTCACTGGCAAGGGCAACATACATTACATATCACTCGTTGTTCTTTACCCTACATTTAAAACTTAGTGCCTATTTTTTCCAAGTAGTATTTTTCTGACAGAAGGAATTTATTATTCTTTTGATATTAGTCAAGACATTCGGTGAACATAGGGGAACATTTTGGTCTTAGCGGCACAATATGGTGTGGTTCAAATTTGTTTGGGACAAGGAAAAAGATGGCATGCAAAAGATAGCTTTGGATTGGGGCAAGGCAGATTTTATTAAAATAAAGCAGGATCAGGCCA